TGAGGCTGAGCTGGGCTTGTTCTGGGAGTGCCATCCAGGGTCAGGCCCAGTGGCCCACGGGAGGATTTGGAGAGACAGGACCAGCGGGTTGGTCCATTCTGAGTTCCTTTGTGCCAGGTGCTGAGCCCCATGGCCTCCGCTCGATCCTGGTGATTTATAACAATGACATTGATCTCAGCCACCAGAGCCACGCTGGCGTGTTCTCCACCAGCCCCAAACGGCCCTGCATGGGCTGGTGCGATAATCCAGGTCCCACGGGGAAACTGAGGCTCAGAGAGCCAGGAGGAAGGGGAACCAGGGTGCAAACCCTGCGCTGCGTCCCCCTCCCTCCACCATGTTCTCCCCCAGAGGCTGGCCCGGAGCTGCCGGGGGATCTGGCCAAAGCCTGGGGAAGACGGACTTCCCAGCAGAGCACAATGCAGCCGAAAGCACTCCCAACGAGGTGGGAACACAGGCTCACTCCTGCTGCTTAGCCTTTACAGGCTGGCCCGGGGAGGAGGCTGTGATTCTAGTGTTCAAACCAACGCTGACATGAAACGGAGCAAAACAGAAAAGTCACGAATTTTTCATATCAGACATGGTACTTGGAAGCATTCTGGCACCAGGCCAACTCCTCTGGGCTGTGTCTTCACACCCGTCCCAGCTACTGTGTTCCCATGGCCCATCTGAGAAGCACTGAGCAGAAACCTTCGGGGGTGTCTGGGGACCACAGCCCCAGGGTCTCGGGTCAGCCATGACAATAGTAGGCCACCCTACCCCAGGCATAGCCTGGGGAGTTCTGGTTAGACCACAGGTGAGGAGAAAAGTAAAGGGAATTAATTCTGTAAGGCAGGTTGCCAGCCATCTCCGAAGAAGCTATAAAGCACGGCAGCCGTAATTATGCATAAATGGTCTCCTAATGTGTGTTCCCACCTTCCTGCACAACCTACCCATTACCAGGTAACGCAGGAGGTGGACCCGTACTGCACACGCTGGCCCAGGCCACCCCGCAGGTGGAGGGCCGCTCTCTCCCCAGATGCAGTCACCTGGGGAAATCCTGGCTCCTGGCTCAAGTCCGACTTCGGGACCTTTACCGGCTGTTTTGTAGGAAACATCTTACTCCTTCCATGAAACGCAGCAGGGGAAGTTTGGTTTCTCAGTCCCCATCACACCCTCAACAGTTCTTGAAGTTGAGAGCTGCATGTCCAGTTCAACGCTGCACCTCAGTGCCCAAAGAGGGCCTGGCACACAGCGGGCACTTCATGTACGTGTCTCATCTATGAGATCGGACAAGGATGTTCTCCCCGCACCGAGCACGAGACCCAGCACACAGTAGGTGCTTCCTCTACATCTGTCACCTACGAGATTGGATGAGGGCTCTCTCTCCAGCAAGGAGCACAAGACCCAGCACATAGTAAGTGCTTCAGCTACATCTGTCACCTACCAGATTGGACGAGGGCTCTCTCTCCAGCAAGGAGCACAAGACCCAGCACGTAGTAAGTGCTTCAGCTACATCTGTCACCTACCAGATTGGACGAGGGCTCTCTCTCCAGCAAGGAGCACAAGACCCAGCACGTAGTAAGTGCTTCAGCTACATCTGTCACCTACCAGATTGGACGAGGGCTCTCTCTTCAGCACAGAGCACGAGACCTAGCACATAGTAGGTGCTTCCTCTGCATCTGTCACCTACGAGATTGGACGAGGGCTGTCTCTCCAGCAAGGAGCACAAGACCCAGCACGTAGTGGGTGCCTCAGCTACACCTGTCACCTATGAGATTGGACGAGGGCTGTCTCATGGAGCACAAGACCCAGCACATAGTAAGTGCTTCAGCTACATCTGTCACCTACCAGATTGGACAAGGGCTGTCTCTCCAGACGGAGCACGACACCTAGCACATAGTAGGTGCTTCAGCTACATCTGTCGTCTACGAGATTGGACAAGGGCTCTCTCTCCAGCACGGAGCATGACACCCAGCACACAGTAGGTGCTTCCTCTACATCTGTCACCTACGAGATTGGATGAGGGCTCTCTCTCCAGCAAGGAGCACAAGACCCAGCACGTAGTAGGTGCCTCAGCTACACCTGTCACCTATGAGATTGGACGAGGGCTGTCTCTCCAGCAAGGAGCACAAGACCCAGCACACAGTAAGTGCTTCGGCTACATCTGTCACCTACCAGATTGGACAAGGGCTGTCTCTCCAGCACGGAGCACGACACCTAGCACATAGTAGGTGCTTCAGCTACATCTGTCATCTACGAGATTGGACAAGGGCTCTCTCTCCAGCATGGAGCACAAGACCCAGCACATAGTAGGTGCTTCAGCTACATCTGTCATCTACAAGATTAGACAAGGACTTTCTCCCCGCATGGAGCACGAGATCCAGCACACAGTAGGTGCTTCTTCCACATCTGTTGTCTACGAGATTGGACAAGGGCACAAAGCAGGGACTCTGTGTAAATCGCTTGGGTGAGTGGGTGTTGGTGTTGGGAAGAGCTTGGAGGTCCTCTTGCCGAGGCCACGGGGAGAAGGGTGAGTCAGGACTCTGCCCACGTGGGCTGCCTCATCCCCAAGATCCCTGGGAGGCGACGGGAGAGTCCAGAATGTTGGCACCGGAATGGGCTTTGTGGATGGGGAAACCGAAGCCTGGGAAGGAAATAAGATCTGCTGAAGCCACACAGCTCAGCAGTGCTCAGGCTGCCTGTCCGGCCAAGCCACGGTAACACAGAGTCGTCCCGTTCATGCTTCACGAGGGGGCGGGGCTGTGCTCACAGATGTGGGGAACCCCCTCTACTCCACAGAGCTCTGCGCTGGGGGCCTGGCGGGCCTGGGTTCGAATCCCCGTCGGTGCCAGGTTCAGAGATGCCATCTTGAGAGAACCAGAAGGCTCTGCACCTGCCGCCTCCCAGCTCCCCCGAGCCTCCACTCATCACCTGGATGTGGGCTGAGGGTGCCACCCCCAGCCCTGTCCACTGCCTGCAGGTGCCAGTCCAGGGTCCCACACACCATGAATGATCACAGGGGCTGCTGACCAAACCAAGAAACGGGGCAAGGAGTGGACACGTTCCAGCAACCAAAGGACATTCTTGCCCTCTGTTCTGCGGAATCGCCTTCCCTGAAGGGTCCCACTTGGCCCCCCGATTCCCAGGTGCTCAGCCTGCACAGGACCAGGAGACAGAGGAAGGGCAGCCTGCACCCCGCCAGCCCCCAGATCACGCTCGGCCCTCAGATGCTGGAGACGTCCCTGGCCCGGCGTCCCCTCCACCCCAACAGCCCAGGCCCTCGCTCCTCACACGGGCTCCCAAATCAGCATTTGTTCCAACAGGGGCTGCTGTGGCTTCTGGGTCCACACGCACGTAGAATTAAACCGATTTCTACGTGCACAGTTCGGTGACACTGGTTACATTCCTCACATGCACGCATTCCCCACAACCTTTTCCAGCAAATTCACCATCATGAACACAGTTCCCTGCCCCTAAGCTTCTCATCAGTCCATCAGAGTTGTTGCTGTCAGTTAGATCCCACATAGATAGTCCTTTAAAAGAGCATAATGCTTAAAGGGTGCATGTTCTGTTGTGTATATTTTCACCAAAATAGAATAAAGTTTACCGTCTTCAAAAAAAAAAATCCAGCCAAGCTGCCTCCCACTGTCCATCTCACAAGGACAGGTCTGCGGCCCGAGGGCACCCACAGGCCCTTACGCTGCCCGTACGTGGCCACGTCACCCTTATCCCACTGTTGCCGCTGCTGCTGTCGAGTTCCTGACTCAAGGGGACCCCATGCTCACCGATATGGTCACAGAGAAAAAAACCCAAACCAACCCCCTTGCCATACAGTTGATTCCGACTCACAGCGACCCTAGAAGACAGAGGAGAACTGCCCCATAGGGTTTCCAAGGAGTGCCTGGTAGATTCAAACTCCCAACCTTTTGGTTAGCAGCAGAGCATTTAACTGTTGAGCCACCAGAGCTCCTTCTGTGGTTCATTAAAAAAAAAAAAGATCAAATCCATTGCTGTGGACTTGATTCCAACTCATAGTGACCCTATAGGACAGGGTAGAACTGCCCCATAGGGTTTCCAAAGAGTGGCTGGTGGATTCGAACTGCTGGCCTTTTGGTTAGCAGCCGAGCTCTTAACCACAGTGCCACCAGGCTCCTTCGGCCCCGAGGGTCCTTCCTAAATCACCAAAGAGCACAGGGGGCCACGTGCCAGGTCGGTGCCATGCACACACCCCAGGCTCCGTGTGTCTCGGCCCTGACGCCCCCAATTCTCTGCGTGAGATGCGTGCTCATCACGGTTCTCAGTGGAGGAAACTGAGGCACGAGGCGGTGGGGCCAGGCCCACGTGGCTACCGTTCTGTCTTACGCACGGAATTGAGCTCATGGAGGACAGCTGCCCCTCGGCCAGCTTCCCTGACCGACTGAGCTCTCAGGGGGTTGGACGCAGTCCCCCCGCTTTGCAGAGGGGCCCCTCACTGAGCCTGGTGGTGTGTGGCCCTGAGCTCACAGGGTCCGCACTCCCCAGCCAGGCAGGAAGCAGGGGGAGAAAGGTCACCCCAGACCAGGAGACACGACATAGAGCTCAGATGGAAACCCAAACCAAAGCTCAGCTGAGCAACCAGGAAACAAGCGGCCACTGCTCACCGCTGCCCCCACGGGGCCAACCACCAGGGGCGGCTCCTCCTTCTGCTCCATGTCCACCACCTCCGCGTGCTGGCCCTGCTGGAGGCGCGTCCCTCCCTGGGAGGAAACCTCTCACGCAGGCCCTGTGGAGGGCAGGCGGGGGCCTAGGACCTGAGCTCCTGTCCTCCCAGCCCTGCAGACGGCAGGCGGGGGCCTGTGACCCTGAGCACTGGCCCTTCCAGCCCCACAGACGGCAGGCAGGGCCTGGGACCCTGAGCTCCTGTCCTCCCAACCCCACAGACGGCAGACAACACCTGTGACCCCGAGCTCCTGTCCTCCCAGCCCTGCAGACGGCAGGCAGGACCTGGGACCCCCGAGCTCCGGCCACAGCACAGCACCTACCTTCCTCTTGTTGGTGGGGCAGATGTAGAAGTTGTCGATGACGGTGGTGACGCCGGGCTGCAGCGTGAGCTTGGTGTAGGATGTCCCGAAATCTGATGACCTGGAGAGAGGACAACAGCGTCCGTGTCAGCCCAGGTGCAGAGTCTATCAGGGAGCCAGACCTCCACGCAGCCCCCTGCCCTCCCCGGGAGCAGTGTGCCCCCACGGGGCAGGGGAGACCCGGCTTATGCAGAAGGCACGGGACTCACTCGAGGCTGAAGCCAGACTTGCACCCAGGCCCCTCTGACCCTCTGACCCAGCCAGAGCCTCCCAGCCCAGCCAGTGTCCCCGCAGAGACCCTCCCCCTCGACGTCTCCACAGCATCACACCCTGCCTGCTAGTTTGCTTTGCCCTGGTCACGTCGCCAACCCTGTTGGTTATGAAGGCCCTTCCAGGTCCCTCCATCCTGCCTCCCCACCCTAGCCCTTCCCATCCCTTAAAACCCAAACCAAATCCACTACCATCAAGTCAATCCTGACTCATAGCGACCCTGTAGGACAGAGTAGAACTGCCCCATAGTGTATCCAAGGAGCAGCTTGTGGATTCAGACTGTCAACTTTTGGTTAGCAGCCAAGTTCTTAACCACTACGCCGTTACTCCCTGCTATCTCACAGATGCTGAGACAGGGCTTAGAGAACGCAGCTTCCTGTTTGAGGCTGGGACCTCGGGTGAGTCTCTCCCACCTCGGAGGCCCACAGTCCTCATCTGAATATGAAGCGGACGCAGGCGGGAGGCTGTGAGCACGCCTTCCCGGCCAGGAGCACGCAGAGCGGAGCCATCAAAGGTAGTACCACACCTGTGATTTGGAAGCCGCAGGACACAGAGACACTGAACTGACTCTAGTTGTCAGTGGCCGTCAAGTGGACTCTGACTCATGGCGACCCCACGTGTGCAGAGCAGAACTTCTCCATAGGGTTTTCAAGGCTGTGACCTTTCGGAAGCAGACAGCCGGGCCTGTCTTCTGAAGTGCCTCTGGGTGGGTTTGAACTGCCAACCTTTTGGCTATCCATCAAGCACTTAACTCTTTGGGCCAGCCAGGGACTTGAACTGATTCTGTGCTGTTGTTGGGTGCCGTCGAGTCAATTCCGACTCATAGTGACCTCATGTGTGCAGAGTAGAACTGCTCTATAGAGCTTTCTAGGCTGTGATTTTTACAGGAGCAGATTGCCAGGCCCTTCTTCCCTGGTGCCGCTGGGTGGGTTCGAACCACCAATCTTGAACCAAAGCCCCTCACTACTCCCATTTAAAATGTGCATCACTGCAGACCTGTGGGCTGTGTGCAGGAGGTGACGCCAGCTGGGGGGCAGCGCCTCCACCTTGGCCCCCTGGCTCCACCGACGCCTGGTCCCTTTGGTTTGAGGCTGCCCTAGGGCCCGTCTCCCCACCTTCTGAAGGTGGGGCAAGGACGGAGCCTGAACCTACTGAGTGCCTAAGTGTGGGGCACCCTGGGGGCTTCTCATGCCTCCCCTCACTGAGACCTGCAGAGCGAACTGAGCTCTGAGGGCACAATGGACTGAACCGTGTCCCCCAGAAAGACGCGCTGAAGCCCAGGCACCTGTGAGCTTGACCCTATTTGGAAACAGGGTCTTTGAAGATGTTGTCATTTAGGCTAACACGAGGCCATAATGGAGTAAGGTAAGTCCGAGTCCAACATAAACCCAAAAACCAAACCCATTGCCCTGGAGTCGATTCCAACTCACAGCCACCCCACGTGGCAGAGAACAACTGCTCCATGGGGTTTTCTTCGGTATACTCCCTACGGAAATAGATTGCCAGGTCTTTCTTCTGAGGTATCATGTGTGGGTTTGAACCCACTAACCTTTTGATTAGCTGCTGAGCACAAACCCTTTGCACCACCCAGGGTACCTAATCCCATCCGAGTGGTGTCCTTATAAAGCCGAGAAGAGACACAGAGACGGGGACACAGGAAGGACGCCATGTGACGCTGCAGCCGCAGCCCAGGAACGCCGGGATCCACCAGAAGCCGGGAGAGAGGCAGGGACAGCGTCTCGCTCAGAGCCTCAGAAGGAGCCAACACGGCCGACACCCTGATCTCGGACTCCCCACCAGCAGGGCTGTGAGACAGTGAATTTCTGTTCTTACCAAGGAGCATGAGGATGTTCTGGAGCAGGTAACGTGCTTCTGTTAGGCGTAAGGGCGCCATGAGTCAGAGCCCACGCAAAGGTAACTAACCAAAACAAAGCCACCAGTTTGTGGTCCTTGCTGATGGCCACCCCAGGACACTGGCACAGAGAGTTCTGGGAGGGGGTCGGCCTGAGTCCAGGCTCCAGGTCAGCCCTCCTGTCCTCAGACCCCCGCACCCACCGTGGGTGCTTATGTCCAGCTGGGTGCCCTGAGTGGCCTCCTCCCGTCTGGCCCAGTCTGCCACCGTCTGCACCATGAGGGGCAGCCACACCAGTGCTGCTCAAACCCGCCCCCCAGTGTGACTGTGCTCCTGTAGTACATCCCATAATACACCCATATGGGTCCTACTGGGCTGCTTTCTTCCTGAGCCTCCCAGGGAAAGAGAGGTCCAGGACATTGGCTGGGATATTTCCTGGGGAGGGGGATGCTCTCCCAGCCAAGGCCACCTGCCTCCTTGGCCCTGCCAGGGGGACCCTCCTCCCTGCCAGACCAGAGAGCCCCGCCCCCCATTCCACCCCTTCCCCATGGGAGTAAAGGCACCCCGCCCCATGAAAGAGGAGGTGGGGTCACAGAGGCCTCAATCTCAGCCTCAGAGAATGATTTTCCCTGGGAAGGAGGGCGCAAGCTTGGGGCCCATCAGACCCAGGAAATTCCAGAGCCATGCAGAGGCCAATGGCTGATGTACTCCAGACCCCTGGTGGGAATCTAAGTGCACCACACCCCCGTCTACCCCCCAGGACTCCATGCATTCCAGATGAGGGGAGGACCCTCAGTCCCCTCCTCGTATCCCTCCCTGCCCCCCAAGCCACCTCCATGACCTGCCAATTCTGCCTCCTGACCACCTCTCACCCCATCCCTTCCCCATTCCCCCACTCGCCCCCTCCTCCTGCCTCACCAGGACCTGCCAGCCTCCCTCTGTTCCCCCAGAGCCAGAGGCACCCCCATCAAAGCCTAGAGGCTTGGCTTCAGCAGCTGCTGCCAGGGCGGAGGATAAACACACAAATCTAACTGCAGCAGCGCCGGGTGTGTGGGGGCCAGGAGGAGAAGGAGCAGAGAACCAGGAGGGGCCAGGGCTGCTGTTCTACAGTCAGGAGGGCCTCTGGATGAGGTGCCCTTTGGACAGAGACCCGGAGGAAGGAAGAGAGAGTGAGTGCTTTGTGGCTATTGGGGGCATGCATACCCCCCAAAATTCATGTCCACCTGGAGCCTGTGCTTGTGACCTTATTTGGAAATAGGTTCTATGTGCATTGTGTCCCCTAAAAGCCAAGTCGAAGCCCCAACCCAAGTACCTGTGAATGTGACCACGTTTTCTTTGCTGTGTTAATGAGGCCACACAGGGGTGAGGAAATTAAACTCGTCAAGGATTTCATTTCTCTTGGATCAGCAACAATCAATCCCCATGGAAGCAGCAGTCAAGAAATCAAACATACTGCATCAGGCAAATCTGCTGAAAAAGAGCTCTTTAAAGTGCTAAAAAGCAAAGATGTCACTTGGTTTGTGCCTGACCCAAGCCCTGACGCCAGTGGCGGTCAGAGGAGTAGAGCCAGTCCAGCAGAGCACCCAGGCTGGACTTTGTGCTCACTGCCGAAGGAGAAAGGAGGTTCTGGGAGATCACAAGGCAAGAGGGCGGGGCTTAGGAAATCACAGGACAAGAGGGAGGGGCTTAGGAAACCACACGGTGAGAGGGCGGGGCTTAGGAAACCACACGGTGAGGGGGCGGGGCTTAGGAAACCACAGGATGAGGGGGCGGGGCTTAGGAAACCACAGGACGAGGGGCGGGGCTTAGGAAACCACAGGATGAGAGGGCGGGGCTTAGGAAACCACAGGACGAGAGGGCGGGGCTTAGGAAATCACAAGATGAGAGTAAGTTGTTAGTTATTAGATGCCACCCGGTCAGTTCTGACTCACAGTGACCCTGTGTACAACAGAAGGAAATATTGCCTGGTCCTGTGCCATCCTCATGATTGTTGTTATGCTTGAGCCCATTGTTGCAGCCACTGTTTCAGTTCATCTCATTGAAGGTCTTCCTCTTTTTCACTGACCCTCTACTCTACCAACCATGATGTCCTTCTCCAGGGAACTGGTCCCTTCTGATAACATGTCCAAAGTATGTGAGATGTAGTCTCACCATCCTTGCTTCTGAGGTGCATTCTGGCTATACGTCTTCCAAGACAGATTTGTTTGTTCTTCTGACAGGCCATTGTATATTCAATATTCTTCGCCAACACCATAATTCAGAGGCATCAATTTTTCTTCAGTCTTCTTCATTCATTGTCCAGCCTTTATGTGCATATGAGGCGATTGAAAACACCATGGCTTCGGTCAGGTGCACCTTAGTCCTCAAAGTGACATCTTTGCTTTTTAACACTTTGAAAAGTTCTTTTGCAGCAGATTCGCCCAATGCAATGCATCATTTGATTTCTTGACTGCTGCTTCCATGAGCATTGATTATGGATCCCAGTAAAATTAAATCCTTTATAACTTCAATCTTTTCTCCTTTTATCATGATGTTGCTTATTTATTGGTCCAGTTGTGAGGATTTTTCTTTTCTTTATATTGAGGTGTAATCCTTACTGAAGGCTTCCTTGATCTTTGTCAGTAAGTGCTTCAAGTCCTCTTCACCTTCAGCAAGGCAAGGTTGTGTCATATGCAAATCACAGGTTGTTAATGAGTCGTTCTCCAATCCTGATGCCCATTCTTCTCCATATAGTCTAGCTTCTCGGATTATTTGCTCAGCATATAGGTTGAATAGGTATGGTGAAAGGATAAAACCCTGATGCACAGCTTTCTTGACTTTCAACCACGCAGTATCCCTTTGTTCTGTTGGAATGACTGCCTCTTGGTCTATGTACGGGTTCCTCATGAGCACAATGAAGTGTTCTGGAATTCCCATTCTTCACAATGTAATCCATAATTTGTTATGATCCACACAGTCAAATGCCTTTGCATGGTCAATAAAACACAGGTAAACATCTTTCTGGAATTCTCTGCTTTCAGCCAGGATCCATCTGACATCAGCAATGATATCCCTGGTTCCATGTCCTCTTCTGAATCCAGCTTGAGTTTCTGGCAGCTCCCTGTCAATGCACGCTGCAACTGCTTTGGAATGATCTTCATCAACATTTTACTTGCTTGTGATATTAATGATATTGTTCAAGGATAATTTCCACATTCTGTTGGATCACCTTTCTTTGGAATAGGCACAAATACGGATCTCTTCCAATCAGTTGGCTAGGTAGCTGTATTCCAAAATTCTTAGCATAGACCAGTGAGCACTTCTAGTGCTACATCAGTTTGTTGAAGCATCTCCATTGATATTCCATCAATTCCTGGAGACTCGTTTTTCACCAGGGTCTTGAGTGCAGCTTGGACTTCTTCCTTCAGTACTATCAGTTCTTGATCATATGCTGCCACCGGAAATGGTTGAATGTCGACCAGTTCTTTTTGGTACAGTGACTCTGTGTATTCCTTCCATCTTCTTTTGATGCTTCCTGCATCGTTTAGTATCTTCCCCCTTAGAATCCTTCAATATTGCAACTTGAGGCTTGGATATTCTCTTTAGTTCTTTCAGCCGGAGAAACACTGAGTGGGTTCTTCCCTTTCAGGTCTCCAGGTCTTTGCACATTTCAGTATAATTCTTCACTTTGTCTTCTAAAGCCGCCCTTTGAAATCCTCTGTTCAGCTCTTTTACTTCATCATTTCTTCCTTTTGCTTTAGCTACTCTACATTCAACATCAAATTTCAGAGTCTCTTCTGACATCCATTTTGGTCTCTTCTTTGTTTCCTGTCTTTTTAATTACTTTTTGCTTTCTTCATGTATAATGTCCTTCCACAACTTGTCTGGTCTATGGTCATTAGAGTTCAATGAGCCAAATCTGTTCTTGAGATGGTCTCTAAATTCAGGTGGGATATACTCAAGGTTATACTTTGGCTCTAGTGGAGTTGCTGTGATTGTCTTCAGCTTCAACTTGAACTTGAAGAGGGTGGGGGTTAGGAAATCATGTGAGGAGAGGGTGGGTTAGGAAATGCTGGTACATCATACTTTCTTGGGGGAAGAATAACAGCTGAGCTCCTGTGGCGCTGGGGTGCAGGGCCTGGGGCTGTGCGGCCTTGAGCAGCGGTTTCCCTCTGGGGCAACGGTTTCCCTCAGGAATGTGAGAATGGAATTCAGCAGTGTCCATTACTGGTGTCCATCCACATATCCTTCCGTGACTGTCCCAATGACTCCTGACTTCCTGTGGGGAGGGTTCTCCCTCCATCTTGGACCACATGGCTGGTGAGAGTTTAGCTTGTCCAGAAAGAGGAGGGAGAAAGGAGGAGGGAGAGGGAGGGAAGGGGAGGGAGGAGGAGGAAGGAGGAGGGAGGAGGGAGGGAGTCCAGCAGCACAAGTATCCCCCCCAGCACTCAGGACTCACAGCATCTTCAAGTTCATCTGCTGCAGCCGGCAGCTCAGAGCACCCTCATTCATTGCAGTGTGTGTTAATTCACATAAAAACACAACTCCAGAGCCTACAGACCACCAGACAGAAACATGGAAGGCAATCGCAGTTGGAAAATTGCTATTTGCAAATCGCCTGCTTAATTGCCAAGTGTTTGTACAAATGCACTTTTAAAAAATGATTTAATTAAACCACGCGCATCCTCTACGATTACTTCATCAGCAGGGCCGTATGCTCAGCTCCAGCCCGCCCCCTGGGTATGCTCAGCTCTCACCGTCTCCGACCCGCTCGCATGGGAACTTGCACACAGGTGTAAAGGCAGTGCCCACCTGCATGCTGGTGCCACTGAGCCCCCCAGCAAGGCCACCTGCAGGAACGCAGCCCTGGGCAAGGCCCAGAACCCTTCGAGACTCAGTTTCTTTATCTGTAAAATGGAGTAGTAACCCTGACGAGGTCCGAGGCTGTGTGCCTAAGGCAGGCAGGTTGTCGGGTCCCGCGGCAGGTGGCACTGGTACTGCTGTTAGGTAGCTGACACCCCCCCATGTCACGTGGTTTACAGCGTGGCCACCCTCTGCCAGGGTCACCCCGTGTGGACAGGAGGATGGTCAGAGCACAGGCATGCGTTCTGCAGTTTGCAAAACACCTCGAGCAGATCCCATTAACCCCCTTTAGGGAAGTGCTAATGTCTGCACTTTACATATAGGGAAACTGAGGCCCGTAGGAGAGGGACTTGCCCAAAGGCATGCAGCGCTGATGGCAGAGCTGGGACTGAGCCTTGGTCTCTGAGTGCCCAGCCCCGGGCTCCCCCCGGAGGGTGACCGCCGTGTCATGGGTGAAGGGTGCCTGCTGAAGGGGGTTCACAGTCAGGAAGCACACTGCAGGGGGCTGAGAAGGAGCGGTGCTGAGCAGACACCGCCGGGCTGACTCTGGCTCTCGGGGCCCGACATCCCCAAGGAACCGGGTCAGAGACGGCTCCTGCCCACGCTGGGGACTCCTGGTCTGGCACTCAAGGCCAACGGAGGAGGTGGGATCGAGGAGACATGGTTCTTCTGGGGCTTCAGGTCCTGCTGATTCTGGGGAGGGGTTGGGGCTTTTCGCGGCCAGGCACCAGCGGGGGGGCAGAGAGGAGGCAAGCACAGCCCCCGCTCTCAGTGGCGAGGGACGCTGCTGCCAGGTAAGTCACCCACAGGTGCACTAACGCATGATCGTGGGCTGGACACAGCCCAGTGGAAGCCTGCTGTCTCATCAAGCCATCCTGGCCACACTGGAGCAGCAGCGTGCCTGTCCATTTCACAGCCAGGGAGACTGAGGCTTGAGCAGCATGCCTGCCCATTTCTCAGCCAGGGAGACTGAGGCTCAAGCAGCGTGCCTGCCCATTTCACAGCCGGGGAGACTGAGGCTTGAGCAGCATGCCAGCCCATTTCTCAGCCAGGGAGACTGAGGCTCAAGCAGCGTGCCTGCCCATTTCGCAGCCAGGGAGACTGAGGCTTGAGCAGCATGCCTGCCCATTTCTCAGCCAGGGAGACTGAGGCTCAAGCGGCGTGCCTGCGCATTTCATAGCTGGCGAGACTGAGGCTCAAAGAGTGTTACGTAAAGTTCCCAAGGTCACTCAGCAACTAAACAGCACGCTCTGTTTTAGCCCCTGGTCGCCAGGCTCCCAGCTGCCTTCCCCAGAGTCCCAGCAGCGAACCTGGAGCTGCCCCGCCCCTCTGGACTCAGATCCCATTTCTTCTCTGGCAGAGTCTGAGGGCCGCACCAGAGCCAGGCACGGCCTTGGACCCCAGCACAGGGCCGCGTTACCACCAGAGTTACCACGTGGCCCGAGGACACCTCTCAAACTCAAGCCCGGGCCTCGGGTCAGCTGGCAGTGCCCAGCGGGCTGAGAGGGTTCCAGACTCTCCCTGCCTGAACTCCCAGCGGTGGGCAGCAACACCCGGACCCTTCCTCTCCCCGCCCACCCCAACCTCGGCTCGTCCAGCCCCCCTGCTCTCACTGACTGGGGGCTGCGAAGCTTGCTGGTGGAGCTCTCCAGAATGGAGCTGGGCAGGGCTGAGCCCAGAGCCTTCCCCAGCGCCTGGCCTGCAGCTTTACACTAGCCAGTCAGCCACACCTGGAGGTGGCCCACAGCCTCCTGCTCAGGGGCACCCCATGGCCAGCTGCACCCCATTACGCCAGCCCGAGGGCGCTATCCCACAGCTGCCTGACACGAAGGGTTCCTCACTCTGAGGGTCCCTCCTGTGCAGGGGTGCGTGCTGGGCGTGGCACAGCGGGGGTGGCAGGCACTTGGTCAGCTGCTGAGGGCCTGTCCAGCTCTGCTGGTCCTTCAATATTGCAGCAAGCCCACCCAGCTATAAACAGGAGCTCCCCAAGCCCCCAGTGCCCCCTTCCGCCAGGCCCTCCTGGACGCTGCCCCAGACCTCCCACGGACCAGCAGCCCGGCTTGGCAGGGGGCCTCCAGGACCCTCCCCTGTGGGGCAGTGACCAGCGTCCATTCTGAGTGGGTGATGACCGTGCCACACCCACTGTTGACAAGGACACGGCCATCGCCTGGTGGGCCCAGGATTCAGTGGGGCCGGAGCATGAACAGACTGCTGCGTGCAGCCGAGAAGTGGCCTCCAGGGGGCGCGGAGGAGGTGCGGCTTGAGCATGGTGGGCGGGACACCTCGCAGGAGGCTGGCAGAAGGGGGAAGGGAAGGCAGGTGTCAGATGGGGGGTGCTTGTAGAAAGCATCCCGACAGACAGCCAGAGGCTGGCAGGGAAGCTGGGTGTCCCGTGCTCACAGGAATGATGGGGTTCAGGGCAGAGCGATGGGGCAGCCAGAGACCAAGGCTTAGAAAACGGAGCTGAGGACACACACGGACACAATATGGCAGCCACAGTGGACCCCGCTACAGCCGCTGCGTCCGCAGAGAAGACTGGGTGCTAGTCCGAATCCGTCCCGAGAGATGTCATAAAAGGAGACAAGTAACCCACGAGCAAGACAGACGCTGCTGCGGGAAGCCGCGTCCAGGAGCCAGGGACCGTACAGGCTCAGAAGTTGGAGGAGCCCAGGAGGGCACCTCCCCCAGAGCCGGCAGAGAGCGCCTGGCCCTGCCCACACCATGGTTGGATGCCCAGTCTCCAGCACGGGGAGAGAAAATTCCTGTTCTCTAAGGCCTCACTGTGGCACTTTGCTCTGGCTGCCCAAGGGCACCAGGATGTGACAGAGGTCACATCGCGTCCCCAGCGGATCTCCTGGTGCGGGCAAGTTACCTGCTGCTCAGCTTGGCACGGAGGCCTGGTCCGTCGGCAGATGTTCCTGCCCTCGGCAGGGCTGGCGTCCAGGAGCCGCGCTGTAGGCAGCCTCCGGCCGGCCGGGGAGAAGCCCGCGGCTGCCGGGCCCCTTAGCAGCGGCAGATGTGCACGAGGTGTGAATTGCCCTGGCAGCTGCCCCAGGCTGCGTGGGAGGCCGCAGCCACACCTGACCCTGTGCTGGGCTGACCCGACCCAGGCGGACGGCCAGGCACCTGAAGGCAGACCCTCGGCGCTCGGCGCTCGACCCTCGGCGTCTGGGATAATTGGGGAGATTGTCGTTGATGTGGGGCTGGCAGGGCCAGGCCGGTGGTGGCCGGGCGAGTCCGTGTGATGCTGCCGTGGTGGGGTATAGAGGGGCTGGGAAAAGCAGCCTCCCCAAGTCAGAATTTGCCGGAAAGGACCCATGGGCTCCTCCTACGAGGGGGCAGGCCGGTTACTGCCCGGAACGAGGCTCTTTGGAATTTGTTGGTGTTTCTGTTACGGCAGCCTAGTAACAAGAAAGGAGCTCTGGTGGCACAGTGGTTAAGCGTTTGGCTGCTAACCAGAAGGTCGGTGGTTCCAAGCTCCCCAGTGTCTTCACGGGAGAAAGACCTGGCCATCTGCTTCCGTAAAGATTACAGCCGAGAAAACCCTATGGGGCAGTTCTACTCTGTCACATGGAGTCACTATGAGTCAGAACCGACTCAACCGCACACAGTGACAGCAACGGCCCCACAAGCTGCCCCTACACCTGGCAGGCTCTTGGTGGTCAGGCTCAGCTCGCTATTCTTGTGACCTGGGATCCACCCTTCAGGAATTCCTAAAGGTTAGCCCTCCACTGTCCTTAGAATCACTTACACATGGTGGGCGGGAACCTCTGGAAACAGGTCCCGCAACAATGAGAAGAGAAAGCCCCCAGCCTCCACATCAGCAGTCTGCTTCTGCCTCCCTCCATGGCCAGCCCTGGTCCAAATGCAAACAGAGCTTATAGTATTGCAATCACAGAGCCGTGACTCGAGGTCAGCATCTCCCTTACTGAGTAATATCCCACCCCATGGGCCTGATTACGGAACGGTCACTCCGGAGGCAGAACATCTTTTTAACCCTTTCTACAAGTGTTGATTTAGGCCTACTTTGTGAGCTACGTATATAAGAACAATGCAGGAGCCCTGGAGGCGCAGTGGTTAAGCACTTGGCTGCTAAGCAAAAGGTCTGCGGTTCAAACCTACCCAGCGGCTTTGAAGGAGAAAGGCCTGGCAATCTGTTCCCGTAAAGACTGCAGCCTAGAAAACCCTGTGGGCAGTTCTACTCTGCCGCACGGGGTCATACAGGGTCACTAGGAGTCAGAATCGACTCCATGGCCCCTAACAACATGTGAGCTGCGGTTTGCAAATGCCTTCCTCCCTATTGACTGCCATCACAGGCCGCTCTGTCCCTTGTGGGGAGCGTTTGTATTATCTGAACACCTCCCCAGCCTCGTATCTTGGGTTATTTCCGTGGGTCTAAGTCTCAGGGGTGAGACTCCTGAATGAGAAACTGGGAGGTTCTGTGTAGCTTTTAAAAATGTACCCCTCAACTCAAGAAACTCTCACAGCTCAATATTTTAAAAATAAGGGCCTTCATTTATGCCTAGAGAGTTCTCGGACAAAATGATAACATTTTCATATGCCAGTTCCAAGACTACTGAATTTGACAGTCCACATTGATTTTCCAAGGTAACTGTTGGCTATCCTTCATTTCTGTTAGGGGCAGGCTAAACGATACATTGATTGTTTTTAAAGAAGACGGAAAAATGTAAAAGGCATGGCCAGATGGGATCTGGAAGATCTATTTTAAAATGTGGAGAGGAATATTCCAAGACAAAGTCCTAAAAATAAATAGGATACAGCACACAATTAACACAAACAACTGCTCACGTCCGTGAACACCAAAGGAATGTTTTAAGTCATGGAACTGGGGATGCCCAGTTGGAAACTGTCAAAAGCAAGCAGCTGGTGGAATGCGAACAAAGGTTAATGCAATGACGAAACTGAAGAGTTGAGCTGGTGGCCCACAGTGATCAATTCCACACTGTAGCCTTGGTGTCTTTGAAAAGAAACGCCAAACGACGCGCTGTCAGACATGTGCTCCCAGGCCCCTCCAAGCATCTGGCCTCTTACTCATCAGCAGAAGGCCCAGGATGTCCACCCTGGCTTGGAGTCTGGAGATCTGGCCTTGAACTTGTCTCCATCCTTTTTCAGCTTTGGGCCTTGGACAAGTCCTTCAGCTCTTCTGAGACTTCACTTTTTCATCTGAACAATTGGTAGCAGTAATAATAATGATGATAATGTTGTTGTGGTTGGTATTGTTAGCTGCTGTTGAGTCTGCCCCCATGGGGATCCCATGCACAACAGAACAAAACACGGCCCAGTCCTGCACGATCCCTGTGATAAGTTGCAGATCAGACCATTGTGACCCATATGGCTTTCACTGGAGGATTTTTGTAAGTAGACTGCCAGGCCTTTCTTCCTAGTCCGTCTTCGTCTGGAAGCTCTTTTGAAATCTGTTCAGCATCACAGCAACACGTAAGCCTCCACTGACAGACAGGGAGGTGGCTGTGCAGGAGGTGCATTGGCTGGGAATTGAACCCAGGTTGTTATGCTCCTGTGTGTGTCAACTGCCATGCTCTGCTTCACATCTGCTTTTGTCGTTAGGTGCCGACTCACAGCGACCCCATGTACGACAGAACAAAACACTGCCCAGTCCTGCGCCGTCCTCACAATCGTTGTTATGCTTGAGCCCATTGTTGCAGCCACTGTGTCAGTCCATCTCGTTGAGGGTCTTCCTCTTTTTCACTGACCCTCTACCAAGCATGATGTCCTTCTCCAGGGACTGGTCCCTCCTGATAACATGTCCAAAGCGTGCTAGCTCAGTTAATCCTCACAACAGCCTCCACAAACTAGGCACTACCATCGTCACCTCCACTTTCCAGGAGGCGGAACTGAGGCACAGAGCACAGACGTGCCCAGGTTTGGGCCCATGGTAAGTGGAGGGCTGGTGGCAGTCTAGCTCCTGACCCCACGCTCATGAACTCACAACATGTCACTTCCTGCCTCAAAGTCCTGGGGCTGCCGGGACAGAGTACCACCAAGGGGCGGGTGGGGGGGTCTTATAAGAACAGAAATGTATTCTCTCACAGCCCGGAGGCTGGGGGTCCGAGATCAGGGTGTCGGCCGTGTTGGCTCCTTCTGAGGCTCTGAGGGAGACGCTGTAGCTGCCTCTCTCCTGGCTTCTGGTGGATCCCGGCGTTCCTGGGCTGCGGCTGCAGCGTCACATGGCGTCCTCCCTGTGTGCCTGTCTCTGTGTCTCTTCTCCTTTTTTATAGGGTCACCACTCATATAGGATTAGGGCCCACCCTGCTCCAGTGTGATCTCGTGTTCACCTACCTGATAACATCTGCAAAGACTCTATTTCCAAACAGGGTCACGTTCACTGTACCAGGGTTAGAAATACAACATAAATTTTTGGGAGACACAATTCAATTCATAACCAGTTATCACTGAGTTGACCCTGACTCATTAGGACCCTGTGTGTGTCAGACTAGAACTACGCTCCATAAGGTTTCAATGGCTGATTTTTCAGAAGAAGATCACTAGGCCTTTCTTCTAAGGTGCCTCTGGGTGGACTCGAACCTCCAACCTTTCGGTGAACAGCGTTAACCATTTGCACCACCAGGGATGCCATCAATCCATAGCAGAGGGTTAAAATAAGAAGAAAGGCCTGGTGATCTACTTTTGAAACAATAACAGCCATTGAAAGCCCTGTGGAGCACAGTTCTACTCTGACACACATGGGGTTACCCTGAATCAGAGTTGGACCACAGCAACTGGTAAAAAATATATTTTTTTATTCTTTCCCATACAAACTTTATACATACATTGTTATGTGACCCTAACTGCTCTCCCCATACTGTGACAGCACACTCCTCCTTTCCACCCCTGATTCCCCATGTCCATTGAACAAGCTCCTAAACCTCTCTGCCTTCCCATCTCACCTCCAGACAGAAGCTGCCCGTTTAGTCTCTTGTATCTACTTGAGCTAAGAGGCACACTCCTCACGAGTATCCCTTTATTTCCCACAGTCCAGTCCAATCCCTGTCTGAAGAGTTGGCCTTGGAAATTGTTTTAGTTCTGGGCTGATAGAGAATCCAGGGGCCATGCTTTCCAAGGTTCCTCCATTCTCAGCCTGACCATTAAGTCTGGTCTTCTTACTAGAATTTGAGTTCTGCACCC